AAATAAGCTATTCACAAAATTTTTGTGTAACTTTTTGGCCAAAAATAGTAGCTTATTTTTGGATATATACGGTACTAAAAATTCTAATAACAGGTATACCAAATTGGAAGGCCAAAAAGGACTGATTCTCTGAAAGAATCAATTTGGGAGTAACTAAGGTTTGATAGTAAAATATGGAGTAAATGCGGTAGATAACTAGAAATAGTCTGAATATCAAATCCAGATATAATCCAATATGTGGTAGAAACATAGCATACTCTGGTAGATTTAGATCGTAGATAAAATTGTTTAAGTCTGTATTCTTAAGATAGATATGTAACCATATAAAGCAAATACTTGACAAATATCTAATAAAGATACAAAGCAAGACCTTATCTTAATATTGAAAAAAAAACTAAAAAAACTTATATGCATTAATACTATTTCATAAAATTTATATACAATAATTTTAAAAAATATATTTTTGCAAATTTTAACTTAAAATATAAAATATGCTAACCAATACCTGAACTTTAAATAAACTTTTAATGAGCCAATATATAATAATATATATTGACCTATTATTATATTAAAAAAAATTAAAAAAGGTTTTATTTTTAGTAATATAGATAATAAATTAAAATTTTCAAAATTAATTGTCAATTTACCAACAAATACAACAAATGATCAACTTACTGTATTTGATTATATCTATGCTGAGAAAAAGAAATTAATGAAGGTTTTACTGAAGAAGAGATCTTAGAAATTGTCAAAAGTAAAAATAAGAAAAAGAAAAAGAAAAAACAGAAAGAAGATACTATTGAAGAAATAAAAATTAGCTATATAAAAGCTAAAAAATATATAAATTAAATATTAAGATTTTTATATAATAAAGACTAGAATTTAGAAAAATTGAAGAAGAAGTAAAGGTTTTATGAAAGTTGTATAAAAGAGTTGGATTAAATATTATAAAAAACTTTAAAAAAACTAATCTTTAAATATTGAATAATATAAATTTTTTTTATTAGATTAAAAATATTTACTAAATATATAACTATATTTGTAAGTTATTAATTTGTATTTTATATGAGAATAAATAAATCGATAATAAATTTTTGATTATAATTTTAATCATGTAAAAATGATTCTATTAGTAGCTCTATATACTGAATAGTTTAGTATAGAGAGTATAACTATATATAATAAACTTATTCTATAATAAACAAAAACTTTCAGATTCTTTAGTTTAGTATATCTAGAGTAACTGTATTATAAAATAAATTTTATTAAAAAAATTTTAAATAAAAAAATTATAAATTTATTTTTAAAAGGGTTTAGATCTTATAGTTTAGTAGTTAAGCTTTCAAACTTTTACAGACAAGATTAACAGTTTGAGTTAAGCTAAAAACAAAATTTTAAATTTGTTTTTATAATTTATAGAAGCTATAATTAAATATGAAGCTTTGTGAAAAGTTTAAGTATAGTATATATAAAACTAAAATAAAAAGTTCTTAAAAGAAAATCAATTTGTAGAGTATAGACACTATATATAATAGTGATATTACAGAAAGTTCTGTTATATAAAGATCATATAAATAAGTCCTTTAATTGAAATAACTTGAAAGCAATACTATATAATATCTTTTTGTTTTTATTTTAATAGCACCAATATCTTTGTATTTAACTTGTAAAGTACTTGTTTAGAAAAATAATCAATAAATTGTATGAATAAGTTTTAATAGAAAATAGTATAGAGTACTTGCTTAAAAGAGTGATACAATAGTAACTAAAAACTAGAGTAGTGAAAAAAGCAATGATTTATAATTATAGGCTGTAGTAAAGAATTATGCTTTAACTAGAATTAAATATCTTTAGTGAACTATAGAAGGCTACTTAGCATAGAAAAAAGTAATCTATCTATATATATTTAAATATATTAAATTAAAGCTTTGGTTATATCTATATAGAAGTTTATAATAAAAAAAGTTAGAATTTACTAGCTGAAATATTATATCAACTAGAAATAGCTAGAAGTAATTGGCTTATCACTTAAGTAATTTTATAGTATTAGATTAGTCTTTAACAAAATACAGTAAATTATTAAAACAAATTATAAAACTTAATAGTTAGAAATATATAGTGCTATAGTTGCTATACAACTCGGAGATTCTCATAAATTAAGATCCTGATAAATATCATATAAGAGAGTATATAGAGAGTAAAGATATATAGTCAGACCCCCTAAATATACTTTCTCTAAATGCAGTATCCCCTAAATGCATGATATAAGCCCAGGCCTATAGTGAGACTTATAAATAAATACACGTTCTTTATTCTGTAAATGCATGTTAATTGTCTGGTCTACTTATAAAAACACTCTCTATAAATATATCCATGTGATTATCAACCAATCAAATTCATTATTCTATACTACTATATTATGTGATAATAGTTATATTGTGATTTTATTAGTATTCTTTAATTGCAACCCTCTCTAAATACATGCTCTAAAGCTAGTCTTGATGATGTGTATTTAGAGAGATCTGACTGTATATTGCATTAGATAATTAAAGAATTATTAAGACCTGGAAATAGCAAACTAGTAGCTGTAGCAGGGCTTGGCTTGAGATACGAGATTAGTATATCTAAGAAAGTAAATAAAAGAATCAAGATATTCATATAACAAAATATTATATAAAAAATACAAACTGGTGTAAGTTGGTATAAATACAAAAAAGTTTTTGGACCAAAATAGAATATCAATATTTTTTATATAGAACTAGTAATAGCAACAGATATTTGATTTAAAAAATATATACAAGAGATTATCTATATAGTAATGTTATAGAACAGATTATTATTTTATTATTTAGTTATTATTACAGTATTATTATTAAAATCAAATTTAACAGATATGTATTATGCTTAGTACTTAATACTTAATGATTAATGATTAGCAATTAACGATTTGCAATTAATGATTAGCAATTAACAATTAGCAATTAACAATTAATGCTTAATACTTAACACTTAATGATTAACACTTAACGCTTAGCGATTAACGATTAGCACTTAATACTTAATGATTAGCAATTACACTTTATACTTAATACTAAGTAAACTATGCTTAGCTACAATGATTAGCAATTAGCTCTAAAGATATAAAAAAAATATAAATTTTTCAAGTTAACATTAAACCTGTACTATTTAACTCTTAGACCTAGACTCCTCTCTTCTCTAAATTCTTTCTTGTAATATTATAGGATTTTTTAGAAATAGAAACCTAAAGATAGTCTATCTTATTCTTTCTAATAAAACATATATTTTATCTATAAACTATTATCTGCCTGAACTGCTATAGACAGAAGAATATAGTTTCTAGTTGTAGTAGAAATTATACTTACTTATTAGATACTACTATAAACCTGTGAAAGATCCTTGTAGCTATGTTATTGTTATAGTACTGCTGTTAAGAAAGCCACAGTACTGTAACATTTGGTATCTCCTGGTAGAAAATATTTTTAAACTATTATTCAGATAGGACCCCAAAGATCTCTGATATAACTTATATCTGAGTTTGTATAATATTAGCCAAATAGATGTATAAAATAGGCCAAAATTTAAAAAATTTACTATATAAAAATACAATATTTGATAAATTTCTACACAAAATTTTCTTTTTTAGTAACCTCTGAGTTATCTTTAGGGTCCTATCCAGATGATATTATTTCAGACTCTTCTTGATTAATAGCTGTTTACTAGAGAATAGTTATCCTAAATTAAATTAAATTGAGTATTGCGAACAACAACTTCTATCACTAAAGATTTATTTAGCTAGTGCCTAGATGTATTTTTAAAACAACTGAAAGATTCTCCACGAGCCAAAGTGTAGATGTAAAGATCTAATCTCAAGAACAACTAAAGGATTTCCTACGAGCCAAAGTGTAAGTGTAAAGATCTAATTCCAAAAACATTCTTTTATTTTTTCTTCTCTTTCTGCTAGCTATTAGCATTTGGACTTTACTCTATGATTGATAAAGTCACCAAACTATACAACGAATATATTATAAACTACAAGCATAAATATTAGCAAAACTTTGCTCTTCCCTTTACTACTCTACAAACTTTAAACCCAGATCTTTCTTGTCAACTTTGTTATCCTCATCTAGAACTAGTAATCATACTTTTCTTTGAACATCTTTTAAAAGATTTTGAAATTAGTATTTCAACACCTATACTGCATACAGTTATACTTTCAAAACTACTACTAGCTTTGTATACCTCACTATAACCTGAAACAGACTCTCTATTCACATTATTCGAGATATTATTTTTAGTTATCAATATAACAGAAACATAGAAGACCCCAGAGAAATTGCTCTTGCATTACTCCAAAAATATACTACTCTCACTGCCCTATCTACTATTAATTTTAAATATCAAACCATCTTTGACTACTATATTGACTTAGCCTATAGTTTTGGATATGAAAAACCAAAACAATTTAATAGATATTTTGAAAATTTAAACACTTCTATATGACAATAGCAACAAGACAATACTTATAGCTTTAGCTATCAAAACTAATATATTATTCACTGAGTTCTATCTTCTTCTAGTTTACTCTTATACCAAAACGAAACCAACAACTCTAACTATCAATTTCTTCTACGCTTACCTTGAGAACTATTTGAAGTATCTCTAGTTTTAGTTGAAATACAATCTGAATATTTTATAGATATAAGCCTTGCTAGTATTCCAGAAGTATATACTGAAAAATATCATTTACAATAAAAAGTAACTATATACCAAGAAGAACTTATTGAAAAAAAGAAGAATCAGATAGTATAGTCCAAGATATCTTTATCCTAACTAAAACTTTCGAACTACGTAATCCACTAAAAAACAACATATTTTCTTTCAAATAACAAGAAGATAATTTACTTCTATTTGTACAACAAGAAAATAATCTACCACCACTAGAACAATAAAATAATAACTTACTACTACCGGAACAACCTGAACAATCTAAAAACAATTTACCATCTCCACAACAACCACTAGTAGTACTACCTGTCCCATCTTCTGCAAATATAGCTAACATTGTTTTGAATACTGCTGCTACTGCTATAATCTAGTTGGTTAATACTTTAACTCCTAATAGTAAAAAGACCCTTATAAAAATTAATTTTTTTACTAGTAATAGAAGCCAAAACCTAGTAGAATGGTTAGAAGAATTTAAACAAGCTGCAATTGCTAACAACTAGACTACTATTTGACAACTCATCCTTACTCCTGCCTATCTAAAAGAAATTATCACTGAATGGTTTTGAGATTTTAACTCTGCTTCCAATATTTTTAATGATCCAGATGCCCAAGCTCGAAGTTTTTACCATCTTTTTAAGACCTAATTTAGTATTACTATACAAAAGATAAAGTAGCAAAAACAGTTATTTGAGATCAAACAAGGAACAAACACTGTTAATACTTATATAACTCGCTTTAAGAAACTACAAGCCAGAGTAGACTTTGCTAATAGCTTCCTTGATACTTTTATTCTTCAACTCTTTATCCAAGAACTCAAATCTGAGTATACTATTAGCATACAAGCTAGAGCTTCTACTAACTTAAATACTGCTATTACTGCTGCTTATAATTGAAAAAATAGCAAACTTATCTTCTCTTCTACTACAGATACAGACCAAGCAATTAAACAACTAATTAAACAAATTGCTCAACTTAGCATCAATCTTGCTTAACAAAAGCTCACTACTATTATCAATATTATATATAATATTGAGAGCCCTACTACTGCACCCAGAATTAAACAACTACCTACTTGCTATTATTACAGATATATTAAACATTTC